AGGCCGTTACCTTTACCTTTCTAATGTTCTTATGTTATATTCTTAAAAATGAAGATATTTGTGAAAATAACATACAAAAATGCATTGCGCTAGGGGAAATTGCTTGCCAAAAATGTGCATATTAGGGGGAAATGTGCACTAAAGTGCCGATGAATTTTCATGAGAACTTTTTTACATATTAAAAAAAAAACACATTGCAAACTGATGCAGGAATATGGTGAACTGAACTTAAGATGAGAAAAAACGAGAAACGTAAATTGACAGGTTCCACCATCCCTAGTTCCTGAGACCACAATTAAGCTGCAAAATGCTTTCTGGCGTATTTCCCCCCAAAGTGAGTGGGGACTCTGATGGGCAAACTCAAGCCAAGAGGGTAGCATAACCAGCTACAATTAGCATTTTATTTTCATCTCCTACCAAGCAAACTTTTCTGCACCTTCCCGCAAAGTGAGCCACAAGAAGCTAAATCGATCAGAACGAGTAAGGGTTTAGCTCACAGGCAGGGCTATAATGAAGTCTAGGAACATTATCCCTTTCCTCTGCATGTTTGCTCAGAGGATGGATCCTATCACTAGGGGACAAGGTTGTGCAAGGGGGGTGGGTATCTCTTTTTCACTCCAAATGGGTGATAAAAGCTTATCACCTCCAAGGGGAATGCTGGCCAGGCTCTGGTGTGTTTGTGTGGGGGTGAGGATTCTATCTCAGCCTTCCAGATGTTGCTTCCCTTTGCCTTGAAGTAAATGGAATATAAATAAAGCAGCCAACATGTGGATATCACATTATGTAAATGGCAGGGAGGAAGCCCCGAAAAATACATCACCAAGTGAGCTTTCAGCTGAGACCTGAATTAATCAGCTCACTGCATCAGAGCCCTTGCTGCTTTCTGCTTACAGGGGCTTAGTTATGATAGACGTTTATATATCTATGAAACTGCCTTATACCAAGTGAGATGATCGGTCCGTCTAGCTGAGAACTGTCAAACACGTTTGGCATCCGTCTGTCTTGGGAGACGACGGAGGAGGGCGCCTTTGGGGATGATGTCAAACTGTTGGGAGGTTGCAGCGCCTGCTGTGGCTGTAGAAACCGATACAGGAGAGACATGTTTCGTTGCAGTTGGGGCAGATGAAGGTGTCCAGTTGTGGTCTGCAGATGTGCTACCGTGTTTCTTCTCTCTGTGCTCCTCCCAGCTGTCATTCCTCCTCTGGTCACTGCTGTGGACGCATGACCTGGCTGTCTGTCTCCAGGCAGTGCAGGGTTGATGTTGCTGGCCTTCGTGTCATGTCTGCAGAGTTGCTGGCTGAGGCTGATGGAGTCTGAGAACATCTGGGGGACCACAAATTCCCCACCCCTGCCTTACATGCTATAAGCATTGAGCAAAGAGCTCAACATCCCCCAGCCACTTCCTTTCTTGCCCAGAGGAACCACGTTTTTTGAACTGGCTACAGTTAAAGATGATTTCCTTTCATGTCGATTGTAAGAATGAAAAATTAGTGGTTAGACCGACTGCTTCCTCTGCAAAAAAATGAGTGCTTTATTCAACAGTATTCCACCACCCCTTTAATGATTATACTTACTTCCCCCCAGCTCAGAGAAGAACTTTCATTGTTAATGAAAGACCTCAAATGGTCTTAAAGTATCATAACACATCTTAAAAGCTAGAGGGGATTTTAAGGTGCAAAAACACCTGCTTTTCTTCTGAGGGGGAAATGGACAGAACAATATGAGCAATACTCCTTGCATTTTCCAATCACACCATATATATATATATATATTTAAGTATGTATCTATCTACTGTTTTTATTAATGTGACGCAAAGAAGCCTGCCGTGAGTTGCTAAATTAGTATTTTGTCAAACCGAACAAACTTTCGGGTTTTACCACAGCTCTGCGGAACTTGGCCGACAGACCTTCAGCGCCTATAACAACCTGCAATGGTTGCATCGTCTATGGCATGGCTGAGAATGTCAACCATGCCATTGAGAAACTGTATAAGCAACAAGCAGACCAGTATACTAGATAGCATTGTAATTCTTATTGCATAATATACATGATTTGGTACAACAAAAACAAAATGTGTGCACTTGCAAATTCTCAAAAATATTTGAAATCAATTGAACACACGTCTGTCAATCTTTGAAGGTCCGTAGAAGTATAATAAGTCTATGGTTGAAATAAAGTACTAGATGCTATCCTGTGGGCTAAGCGGTAAAACCTTTTTAGGCGTTCATGGTGCCAAAGTAGTAGGTGAATAACAATGGACAGTGATGGCGGATAATCTGACTGTTTCGCTTGAATCTTCTTCAGCACAACTACAAAAGAATTCAAGTATGAAACAATGACCTGGGTACAGTGGTACCTCGGGTTACATACGCTTCAGGTTACATACGCTTCAGGTTACATACGCTTCAGGTTACAGCCTCCCCTAACCCAGAAATAGTGCTTCAGGTTAAGAACTTTGCTTCAGGATGAGAACAGAAATTGTGCTTCTGCGGTGCGGTGGCAGCAGGAGGCCCCATTAGCTAAAGTTATGCTTCAGGTTAAGAACAGTTTCAGGTTAAGTACGGACCTCCGGAACGAATGAAGTACTTAACCCGAGGTACCACTATACATGAAAACTATATAAACTTCACACATTACAATCCATATGCTACAACTACAACAAAAAGAACAAAGGTACATACCCCATAGGTTAGAAAAATGCACAAGGAGCAGTGGTCATGAGGATATGTGTAAAGTTTATATAGTTTTCACGTACACAGGTCATTGTTTCATATGATCCGGGATCACTATCTAGTATACTGGTCTGCGTGTTGCTTGTATTGTTTGTGGTGTTAAGTTTGCAACACAGGGGTTTGTTGTTCTGCATTGAGAAGATGTATAGCAAAGCTGGCACAAGCGCATGAGGAACCTTCAGGGAGGGCTATAGCTCAATGCTAGGACAGATGCTCTGCATGCAGAAGGTCCCAGATTTGGTTTCCAACCTTGATGGCATCCATCTGTCTCAAAAGGCAAGGGAGAGCACCTCTAGAGGTGACGTCAAACTGTTGGAGAATCCCAGAGCCTGCTGTGGCTACAGAGACCAGTCACTCGTAACTGCTTATTCCGCGTTGTTTTTGCTGTGTTAGCAGAACTGAAGTGACCTCCCCCGGGGCGCATAGGAGCCAGCTCCTAGGGGGCAAGGTCCCTTCGGCCTCCCCAATAAAATATTTGAGGGGGCCAGCCCCCCTCCAAAACTGATGGGCCTTGCCATTGAAACGGGGTGTGTGTGTGCTTTGTCATAAGATGGATTATATGGAGTGGGGCTTTCCTAAGCTCCCCAATGTTTTATTCAAGTTGGCGCCGCTGCCGGAGAGCAAGCCTGGGCAGTGTGTACAGCGGTACCTCGGGTTAAGTACTTAATTCGTTCCGGAGGTCCGTTCTTAACCTGAAACTGTTCTGAACCTGAAGCACCACTTTAGCTAATGGGGCCTCCTGCTGCTGCCGCGCTGCCGGAGCATGATTTCTGTTCTCATCCTGAAGCAAAGTTCTTAACCTGAAGCACTATTTCTGGGTTAGCGGAGTCTGTAACCTGAAGCGTCTGTAACCTGAAGCGTCTGTAACCCGAGGTATCACTGTATGGAGGTCCTGGGCTGCCCAGAGGAAGATACCACACACACACACACACACACATTGGCCTCACTGATGTGTTCCAAAGGAAAGCAGAGCAATACGTTTGGCACCAGCTTGGCTGCAGGAGTTGCCGAAAGGAAGGCACCATCCAACTGTCCTAGGGACTCCACTCCAGATTTGTGGAGCATTTTCTTCTCCCAAAGGTATTCCACAAGGCAGCAGAGGATTAACATCAAAGTTTTCCTTCTCCTCGATGGGTTACTTTCCCAGGTGGACGAGCCCCATCTGCCCCTCACTTTGCTCCACAGCACATGCAGAAATCGCTTGCTTGACCGTTGGACCAATATGGTCTCATCCACTCAATCCACCACAGTCTGTCTTCACATGGAGGGGAGGCCCCTAACTCACCCAGGGGTTGAGACCCATTGGCTACCCTTACCTGGTTTAGAGGACAAATTGAAGCTGGGTCCGGGGTGTGGCTGCTGTCACATGCTCACGTCTTCCGAGAGCCACAGGCTTCTAGACTCTGATAATCTGATCAGAGATCAACTCTGATCATCCTTGGCATGGTGGCCATGATAGCTAGGAATTTGAAGCCCCACCCAACATCTGGAGGGCACCACATTGACTTCCCTTGGTCTACACCATCAGTGGATCTCCAGGATTTCAGACAGAGGATGCCAGGAATTAAACTAGGGACCTTCTGCATGCTGCAGTAGAGCTGCAATCCTTCATCATGTGTCTTAATTCCTTATGTATCCACAGACTCGCTTTCTGTCAGCTCCTTCTCCTTGGTAGGCTGATTCTCCTCTTTAAGGCCTTTGGCTGACCTCAACTTTATTCTTTTATCCACTAACCTAATCTTTTTCCTGCAAGCTACCGGGTCCCGTGTGTGTTTCCCCTCCTTTCCTCACTTCAAACAGAGGTTCTTTATTACATGTGCATTCCCTGCCCCCTCACTTCCCTTGAACCAGGTCAGCAAGGAGGTTCCCCGTGATGTCATCTTGCCTACATCTAGTTCCTTGCATTTTTCATCCGTTGACAGGGAAACACAGTTCCGCAACTTCCTTTTGTCAGGAGAGATAAGGACCTGAGGGTTAGGCAGCCGTTGCTCTCTGCAAATATTTGACTGCCCTCTCTTTTGGGAAGGGGTGCTGGCTGCATGCCCAGATCAGTTTCGTAAGCCTCACGAAACAAAACAATAAACATGCACTTGCGGAGCTCACAAACAAAGGTGAAAGCTGCTGGTTTTAGGAGCGGACTTACCATTCTCGCCATCAATTCACAGGTTAGTCACATTCATTCATTAGTTTTGAGGCCCACTGTGGTTTGGCAAAGATCCAAGCCTTTGGATGAAGGCCAAGCTGGAAGTTAGATAGATAGCTGAGAGATGTCTACAGCCATACTACCCTGAACACGCCCAATCTCGTCTGATCTCGGAAGCTGAGCAAGGTCAGGCCTGGTTCGTACTTTGATGGGAGATAGTCAAGAGATAGTATTTATTTATTTCCTCTCTGAATTGCTTCCTGTGGAACATCCCCAAGCAATTTTGCAATACAGTCATATCTTGGAAGTCGAACAGAATCTGTTCCAGAAGTCCATTCGACTTCCAAAACATTTGGTAACCAATGCAGGAAGCTCCTGCAGCCACTCATTTTTGGCTTCCAAAAATCGTTCGGAAACCGTAATACTCACTTCCAGGTTTCAATTGTTCACAAGCCAATTTTTTCGGGAGCCGAGGCGTTTGAGATCCAAGGTACAACTGTACAATAAAGATTGTACCTAAAACAATTGCCTGTATTGTATAAAGACAGCGAGAACAACTGCATGTAGAATGAAGCAGCCCATCAAAACCACATAACACCTCTGCAAAATCAGCTGCACCGATTGCTGATATGTTACTTTCTGGGTGCAGCTTTTAGCACTTAACACCCCAGGTAGGTCTGGGACAGATTCATGTCTGAATCCCCAAAGACCCACGGCTAGCCAGTGTTGACAGTTACTAAGCTAGATGGACCAATAAGGCAAGTGACTTTTTTCTGTGCCTTTTTCTACCATACATACATAGCTCAGTTGGTAGAGCATGAGACTCTTAATCTTGGGGTTGTGCATTCAAGCCCCACATTGGGCAAAAGATTCCTGCATCTCAGGAGGCTGAACTAGATGACCCTTTCAACTCGGCAATTCTATTTTTCAATTCCATTTAGACAGTGCTTTTCCCCCCCCCCAAGAAAATTAGGCACCCAAAGAACCCCCCATGAAGTTGTTACAGAAAGTTGCTGGGCAACTTGGGGAAGCCCTGAACAGATGCTGGTTTGACAACAGATGTGTTCACCACCCACGGAGGTGCTGAAAACTACGGCAAGCTGTCTCCCTAGCTGATTTGGGGGTCGCCCCTGGTTTTGGTGCAGGTCAAATAAATGGGCCACCACCTTCCTTGTACTCTGAGATTCAGGCGGACAACTAGGGCAACTTGGAAGGGCCCTAGCACAAATGCGCACATGTCCAACAGTAGATGCCTGACTGGAAAGCTTAAATACTGCTGCGGCTACACGAGAGATAGATGGAAGAAAAGGAAATACTCATTGGTCCTGCCCCATAGCTTGACCTATCTTGGCTAGGAGTGGCTAGGATCTAGGTGGAGTCACAGATTTTGAAAAAAGTATAGACTTGCACACGCTGACCAGCTTCCGTTTTGATTTGAAATAATAATAATAATAATGGACGTGGGTGGCGCTGTGGGTTAAACCACAGAGCCTAGGGCTTGCCGATCAGAAGGTCGGCGTTCGAATCCCCGCAACAGGGTGAGTTTCCATTGCTCGGTCCCTGATCCTGCCAACCTAGCAGTTCGAAAGCACATCAAAGTGCAAGTAGATAACTAGGTACTGCTCCGGCGGGAAGGTAAACGATGTTTCCGTGCGCTGCTCTGGTTCGCCAGAAGCAGCTTAGTCATGCTGGCCACATGACCCGGAAGCTGTACGCCGGCTCCCTCGGCCAATAAAGCGAGATGAGAGCCACAACCCCAGAGTCGGCCACGACTGGACCTAATGGTCAGGGGTTCCTTTACCTTTACTACTACTACTACTACTACTAATAATAATACCAATACTAATTATTATTATTATTATTATTATTATTATTATTATTATTATTTATACCCTGCCCATCTGGCTGGGCTTCCCCAGCCACTCTGGGCAGCTTCCAACAAAATACAGTAATGCATCAAACATTAAAAAGCTTCCCTAAACAGGGCTGCCTTCAGATGTCTTCTAAAAGTCGGGTAGTTGTTGTTCTCTTTGACATCTGTTTGTTTTAGGCATCTCAGAAGTTCATAAAGCCAAGAAGTGGGCAGGGGGAGAGCCTGACCAATGGTGCCCACCTGAGAGGCGTCGGAACTACACTATGTCTGAAAAACAGCACTGTGTTTAGACCTCAAAAAGCTGGGGTGAAACACAGGTTACTCCATTTTAGTCACTATGCCATCTCTGTGTTCCAGCAGTGCCTCTGATACGTAACTGAAAGCTCGTTCTGGTTTTAAATGACCTTTTGAGGGGGATTTCCTTGTTCCACCTCTACAGTACAAAGAGCCTGTGCAGCACCCACTGCAGAAACACAGTCATTAAAAGCCCCTCAGTCTAAACCACTGAGCCTCTTGGGCTTGCTGATCAGAAGGTCGGCAGTTCAAATCCCCGTAACGGGGTGAGCTCCCGTTGTTCGGTCCCAGCTCCTGCCAACCTAGCAGTTCGAAAGCACGCCAGTGCAAGTAGATAAATAGTACCGCTCCGGCTCTGGTTTCGCCAGAAGCGGCTTAGTCATGCTGGCCACAAGACCCGGAAGCTGTATGCCGGCTCCCTCGGCCAGTAAAGCGAGATGAGCGCCACAACCCCAGAGTCGTTTGCGACTGGACTTACTGTCAGGGGTCCTTTACCTTTACCTTTTATGCCAGCTCTGAGTGAGTGCATTGGAGTTAATTGAAGAACATAAAGGTGTATTGTGTTGCACTTATCTTGCATTGCTTAATTCTGCCACAAAGAATGCTCCAGTTAAAGGAATACATGCTGGAAAAGAAGAATGCAGCATAGAATTTGTGGAACAAGCTGGTATGGCAAACACCCGGTGTGTCGTCAAGAAACGAAAACAGATAGACACGGCCAGAGGGCTCAGTAAGTTTTAGGAATTCTGGGTTCAGAGGTACCAAGAGAACAAAGGAAATTATTTTTCTACGCTACCATGGCGGCTGGAATGATATATGTCCAGAGATGGAAAGAAGAAGGAATTCCAACTAAAGTAGATTGGGCACTAAAATTAATGGAATACACAGAAATGGCTGGAAGAATAAGAAATCAAGAAGAAGGACTTTTGAATATAGAATGAGGGTATTTTGTGAACTTTTTTTTTTTTTTTAATCACTGTAAGAATCTTACAACATTAGCAGGATTGACAAAAAATCAAGGAGTGAGGGAAATATCAAGGAAACATAAATAAGAATTAAATAAATATGTTAGAAGTAGGTGTACAGTGATAAAGGGAATGTTATAAATAACCACAGAAAGGTTGGTTTGAATTTTGATGGAATGTAAAATTTTACTCTTGTTTTTGTTATTTTTTGGAAAAGAAGAAGAAGAAGAAGAAGAAGAAGAAGAAGAAGAAGAAGAAGAAGAAGAACTGCCTCTGCTACCACCACATACAGACAATAGCTGCCACCTGAGGCAGTTGCCTCAGCCAACCCAACGGTAGGGACAGACCTTTTATCCATGATGGTCAAATGAGCCCTGGACAAGGGAAAAGCTCCACGCCTTGCTTTCTTCCAGAGGAAGAGTATAGAAAATGAGAGTGGTGCTGTGGACAGATGTCTGGTGTGGCTGGGACTCGAATCTCTTCGTAGGGAGCTGCCTTTCAAGATGGGGTTTCTTTTCTGATCCCCTTCCAGCCAGGGCTTTCCGGTCTTCTTCAACCACGCCTCCTCCGAGTTTGCTCGGCATCCGCTCAGTTTCTCATTAACCCTGAAGGGAGTTTCATGAATGGGGAGGGGATCACAGTGGAGAGTTAGGGCTGCACTGCGGAGTGGAGTCAGTTGTTAACAGAAGATAAACTGAAAGCCTAAGCCCACTTGCGATGAGATTTGAGTCACTCCAGCAGCATCACCTTTGAACAAGGGTTAACCACTGGGAAACATGTGGTTTTGGTCATTAGCTTCACACTCTGCACTCTGATTCTATGAATGAATGAATGAAACCTTCCACAGTCATTCTGCCAGCATGACTTATTCAGCCCCAAGTGATTAGAAGAGACCTTAATCCTCCCCCCTTTTTTTTAACCTCTCATCAGGTGTGTGGTCAGGTGAGGAGCTGAGATGTGGCCATGTTGCACTGAGCCCCCAGATCTCTTGCCCCCTCCTCCCTATTTTAATTCATTTTGCTTATTAGATCTTCAGCCGTGCAATAAAGAGGAAAGCAATCTATCCAGCAGATAAAGGAAATAACGCAAATATAACCCCCCTTTCAAAGGTACTTCCATGTTTGCATCCTGCAAAGCACAGTGAGTCAGTCACTCTCTGCATTTGTCCAGAATTCTAGCTTTGTGCCTGCATATAAATACATTTACATGTGCAAATGTTATGCAAATGTGTGACACGGAAGCAAGCTTTGATGTAAACTTAGTAATCTTCCTGCTCACCCAGAACCTAGACATAGCAGGGATTCATCCACTGGAAATAGCATCATGGCAGATTGTGGGAATGTTCAGGGATGCAGGAGATGATACATTGTTTGATTATATCATTTCCAACTTGTGTTAACAAGTTCTACAGTTTATCAGAGTAACATTCCCCTTTTTAAACTTGCACAGCGGATACATTTGCTCAGGGCTCAAAAATAAGTTTCTTTGGTAATTTTCCCTTTAGTCTAGTGGTTCTCAACCTGTGGGTCCCCAGATGTTGTTGGACTACAACTCCCATCATCCCTGACCACTGGTCATGCTGGCTAGGAATAATGGGAGTTGTAGTCCAACAACATCAGGGGACCCACAAGTTGTGAACCACTGCTTTAGTCCCTCATAAAAAGATAGACACAACACAGTCTTCTATAAAAGTACAAAAAGAGTTTACTCACACATTCTGTTCACAAATGAATTCCAGAAGGCAGACTTAAGTTACAAAAGTAATATACACCTGGAAACTATCCCATAAGGAGATGGTCCCTTTGTCTTCTCTTGGCTGGAAGCATCTTAGGCTAAGCAGATGTTGCTTCTTCGACGAATGTAGTCAGAGAGAGAGAGATGGCGGCCTCCGTTGAGGTATTTTGTTACCTGCGCAGGTGAGGCCACGCCCACCTCTGGTCACATGTAGAGGAGGTCTGTCCCAGCCTAGGAGGAAACAGGAAGTTCCGACTGGCTGGTCCAGACATTCCCTTTTTATGTCCACTCTAGGGATGTTGTACTTAACTGTTCTGTGTTTCACATCCCACACAGAATTTATGACAATCGGCCAAAATGTCCAGGGAAACCCAGGCTTATGGCAACACATGTTGGAAGTGTTTTTGGGCAAATTCCCTAAAAAATAGCTATAAAGCTTCCTTTTTATTTTATTTTTAGATTTTGCAAAAAGAGATCAGCAACTTTGGTCAAAAGGAAAACTCAACAACTTTGCCCTCAAAAAAGCTCAACAACTGTTGTGTCCGGATATTTATATCCCGCCCTCCCCAGCCGAAGCTGGGCTCAGGGCGGCTAACAACAATAAAATAGTACAACATTCTAAAATCATTTCATTATAAAATTAATTCAAATCAAATTGATGGCAACCATTAGGCTAAAGTTCTGTGAAGATTGCCAAAGGAGGGAGTCAGGCTGTGCCCTGACCAAAGGCCTGATGGAACAGCTCTGTCTTGCAGGCCCTGCGGAAAGATGTCAAGTCCCGCAGGGCCCTAGTCTCTTGTGACAGAGCGTTCCACCAGATCGGAGCCACAGCCGAAAAAGCCCTGGTTCTGGTTGAGGCCAGCCTAACCTCTCTGTGGCCCGGGACCTTCAGGATGTTTTTGTTTGAAGACCGTAAGTTCCTCTGTGGGACATACCAGGAGAGGCGGTCCCGTAGGTACGAGGGTCCTAGGCCATATAGGGCTTTGAAGGTTAAAACCAGCACCTTAAACCTGATCCTGTACTCCCCCGGGAGCCAGTGCAGCTGGTATAGCACCGGGTGAATGTGATCTCGCATCGAGGACCCCGTAAGGAGTCTCGCCGCGGCATTCTGCACCCGCTGGAGTTTCTGGGTCAGTCTCAAGGGCAGCCCTATGTAAAGCGAGTTACAATAATCCAGTCTGGAGGTGACCGCCGCGTGGATCACAGTGGCTAGGTCAGGGCGAGAGAGGTAAGTATACATTTTAACCTTTCAAATTGCTGTAGATACAATGTATTCCTTCCTTTTCATGAGGTTGGAGCCCATTCTGTGTTATTTTACCGTTTTTAAAGTTTATGAGAATGTTTGAAATATACGCTGTGGCAAATAAACAATTTTTAAATACGAAGAAAAGAAAAGTCTTCCCTGTGTGAAACTTAGTTGAATACCACCCAGATGCCTTCTTATCTCAAAACAAATGAATTTGTCCCGGGTTCCTGTAGTTTCCATTTCCATTTCCCATTGGAGGTGACGGTGCCTTTTTAATGCCATTATGGGCGAGCCGATCATCTCTGTCAATCTCATTAAATATGCTTGTCATGATCCATAATTAAAAGGAAGTCCATTTCCCTCCCCGACCCCCCAGCCCCGCTTCCCGGCTCAGCTCCTTAAGGGCCCCTCTGAAGCGCTGGATGGAAATTAGAGAGCAAAGCTTTTCCTCCGGGTAACGGCAAGCCGCAGAGATTGATGGCTTCCCATTTGCTCTTCCTCTGCGTTTTGCTATTACAAGAGCCTGAAAGTGAAAGGACTTGCTTTCTGTCCCTGGAACCAGATGCGCCCTTGGTGGGTGTGACTGTTTACAAGTCCAAGGAGCAGATGGGATGTCAGATGCCTCTAGGTCTTCTCTCTCTCTCTCTCTCTCTCTCTTTACATTTGCTTTCCCAGCTCCTTCTGCAGCTCCTACTCTTTCTTCCTCGCTCCCATTCCTACGATCAGATGCTGATTGACCTAAATGTTTGCAGAATTCAAAACTCTCCCTCGAACAGCCCTGGAGGGAGCGCAGAAGGAAAAATCCCGATAGGCTGGTTCAAAAACTGGTTAGGTCGCAAGCAGAGGGCCTCTTTGCATGCTGTAAAAATTCCCTGTGCAGAAGAAAAGAAATATGAATGTGCAAGTGGTGTGTGAACCATCGCACATAGCAAAGGCACACGGCAGGTTTTGAACTCTTCCTACACTTTCTCGAGAGCCGTCACTAGCAAGAAGAAAAATCTCCCCAGGTGCTTAGTAGGTGAGTGAGCCACTGGGGGACCTTCTGGATACCATTGGGCTACATCTCCCATCTTTCTTGACTGTTGATCTTGCTGGACTGGGTTGATGGCAGTAGGAGTCTGACAGCATCTAGCTACCCCTGGGGTAGCCAAACAATTGAACCCCTGTGTTGCAAACAATTATCAGAAATATCCAAGGCAACACGATGACCAAGTACAACAATGTAATATCAATATAAACTCATAGTATACAATTAGGCGCAGTGGCTTAAACCACAGAGCCTAGGACTTGCCGATCAGAAGGTCGGCGGTTCGAATCCCCATGACAGGGTGAGCTCCCGTTGCTCGGTCCCTGCTCCTGCCAACCTAGCAGTTCGAAAGCACGTCAAAGTGCAAGTAGATAAATAGGTACCACTTCAGCGGGAAGGTAAACGGCATTTCCATGTGCTGCTCTGGTTTACCAGAAGCGGCTTAGTCATGCTGGTCACATGACCCGGAAGCTGTACGCCGGTTCCCTTGGCCAATAAAACGAGATGAGCGCCACAACCCCAGAGTCGGCCATGACTGGACCTAATGGTCAGGGGTCCCCTTACCTTGGTATACAATTCCATTCACCATATAGATGGGGTATGTACTTTTGGTTTTATTTTATTTTGAATTGGCATTATAGTTCATGTGTATAGTTTGTAATATTTTGAGTTATTGTAAGTTACCATGCAGGTCATCGTTTCAACAATTCACTTGCAGTTTATGAAGCGTTTCTGTATCCTTCTGCTGTGCTGAAGAAGAATTCCACAAAACAGTGGGTATATCCAGAATCACTGTTCACTACGTCTGCTTGCAGACCACTTCGGCAGCCTTGGACGTCATAAAACAAAGATTTACGGCTTGTTTTCATCAGATAAGAATCTGACCTATTGCTTCTTTCAGAGACTTGCATAGTCTACAAAGACTTTCAGAGACTTATAAGACTTATGTTTATTTTGTTCTATGTTTATTTCATATATTTCATATTGTTCAATGTTGCATATAGATGGTAAGAGTTTCTATTGATATTGCATTGTTGTACTTAGTCATTGTGTAGCCTTGGATATTTCCTCTACCCCTGGGGTAGAGCATGATCCCAAACTCAGTGGAAATCACAGGCACCATCTTGTCTTTGCCAGACCTACAGGAGATATGTGGTTTTGAACCTGAGACTTTCTGCATGCGAAGCACTGAGCTATGGCAGTTCACCATTATCGTTCCCATGCTATCTGTGTCATCTGTTTGAAAACACAGCTTTCAGGGAGTGATATTAGGGGCAACCCCAGGAGAAAAGGTTGGGCAGCTTCCTCTCTCCATCTCTGCACTCTTCCTACAATCAGGCTCACAGCCTGTAGATCTTTGCCTTCTTCTCCCCGTGGGTGAATCAGCATCTTGGGGAGGGTGGTTTTGAGTTCGAAAACAACCAGAGAAGAAAGACTGATGTGGCTAGTCAGCCTCCCCATGGAATCACAGCTGTATTATCCTACAATGATTTGGTATACAGTGGTACCTCGGGTTAAGTACTTAATTCGTTCTGGAGGTCTGTTCTTAACCTGAAACTGTTCTTAACCTGAGACACCACTTTAGCTAATGGGGCCTCCTGCTGCTGCTGCTGCACCACCGCTGCACAATTTCTGTTCTCATCCTGAAGCAAAGTTCTTAACCCGAGGTGCTATTTCTGGGTTAGCGGAGTCTGTAACCTGAAGCGTATGTAACCTGAAGCGTATGTAACCCGAGGTACCACTGTATAGGCAAATCTGCCCATTTCACTCTGAAAATTTGAGGTTTCTCTACCAGTTCTCCACAGAACTGCATCAGCTTGCAATTTTTTTAAATTAAAAAAAGTCCTCGTGAAAATGCACCAGTGTTTTAGTGATCATTGATGTATACACGTTTCTGTGCAACCATGCCTGCTGCAGCCAATTTTGCAAAGTATTCCCCGCCCCCAAAATTAATGGATTTTTATATGATATGTATCTCTGGACATAATTTACCCCACTATGTACATCATTGTACGCATTATTGGGCTGGAGAACTGTGCTGAAAAATGCAGAAAAGTGCCAGTTTCGAAGTATGGCTCTCCTATGGTTTCACCACTGCCTCAAATTCCTCTCCCATCTGTACCCACAAGTGAAAAGGGTTGCAGTTCAGTGGTGGGGCATCTGCTTTGCATACAGAAGGTTCCAGGTTCAAATCCTGGCATCTCCAGGTCAGGCTGGGAGAGACCCATATCTCAAACCCTGTAGAACCACTCCTGGTCAATGCAGACGATACTGAGCTCAATGGACCAACCATCTCACTCAGCAAAAGATGACATCTTATGTTCCACTGCTCCGACCCTCAGCCTGACCAGGCTGCTTTGGGTCATAGAACTCCATATAATGTTCAGCTTGAGCCTCAAACACAGTTAGGGGCAGGAGGAAGAAAGATGAAGCAATGAGCTCTCAACTCAACTGGCAGTCACTCAAGGTTTCATCAGCACTTGACGCTATAAGTCAAGCCAAAAATAAGAAACTGGAGGTGGGGCAGCCTTGAGCCAGCGATTCCTGTAAAATGTTCATTTTGTGTCACAAAAATAAAAACCCTAAAATGCACTGAACTGACTCCCCTTTTCTTCTTCTGAAAAAATACTTGTGTCCTTTTTACCAGGAATCTACCCGTCTCTCTTGTTTCAAAAGCAACAAGAGATGAAATGAGTTATCTGTACATTTTCAGTATGAATTTCACCTGACTTGCATGCGTCGCTCAAGCTGGGTGAGGTTTGCAATGGGTGCTGTCCCCTCTTATAGGCTTCCCTGTTATCAGTCAATCTGCCATGCAAACAGCCCTGTGCATGCAAGCACCAGAGAACATGGCTTTATTGTTCATGCCCTTTCTCAACAAGGAGAGGGGAAAGGTTGTGGAGGAGGAGAGAGGGAAAGAAACTTTGGTCAGAACCTTCCCTGTGAAATTAAGCTATGAGCTCTCTTAATTGGGCCAGAGAGACAAAGTGCCAACCAATCTCCTCCTTTCTTTGTGACATGGGGCAGCAATGCTTAGCATCCCCCAACCTCCTGGTGATATGATAGCCATGTTCAAATATATAAAAGGATGTCACATAGAGGAGGGAGAAAGGTTGTTTTCTGCTGCTCCAGAGAAGCGGACATGGAGCAATGGATCCAAACTACAAGAAAGAAGATTCCACCTAAACATTAGGAAGAACTTCCTGACAGTAAGAGCTGTTCGACAATGGAATTTGCTGCCAAGGAGTGTGGTGGAGTCTCCATCTTTGGAGGTCTTTAAGCAGAGGCTTGACAACCATATGTCAGGAGTGCTCTGATGGTGTTTCCTGCTTGGCAGGGGGTTGGACTCGATGGCCCTTGTGGTCTCTTTCAACTCTGTGATTCTATGATTCTATGATTCCAAGCTAAACCCCTAGCACAGCTACTATAGGGGGCTCAGATTTGGACTGGTAACCACATTAGCACTTTGGAAGCTGTTCAATCACAGTTTCTAAGGCAGATTTTTTCTGTGATAGACCCAAACGCATCATTGAGACTGGAGGCAACTCTCCCTTCAGTAGAAGTACAGACTTGGCAAAGAACTCTTAACTTCTGGCTCCGCCTAAACTCAAATCCCCCCGGTTTATTATCCCTTATTATCCCATAAAAGTGCCTGGCTTAAAACCGTCTATCAAAAACTTCACTCTTGTGGCCTATCCCCACAACAACTACTCACTATGGGCCCTACTAAAGCAAGCAGTCTAATTGGTCAATGTCTAAAAGACATCGAGCATCAGAACAACCTGGCCACTATAAGGAAATTCTGCCCTTGGTATGTTCATTTTCCACCTCTCCATTTTGATTCTCTGGCCCCATATATGCACACACTTATTATCCCAAAATACAGACGTGCTTTTACACTTGCAAGACTGGATGTTTCGCCATCTGTGGTACTTGAGGGTCGTTTCCAAAAGATCCCACCTGAGAAATGTCTTTGCCCTTGTGGTAGCACTGAAACAGCGGCACACGTCCTCCTGTCTTGTACTCTCTACAAAGACCTGAGGAACGAGATCATCACCCCACTCGTACTAACCATCCCAGGGCGCTCAACCACTGCCACGATGTCCTGTCTTCTATCAGATCAAAATGAGCAGATAACAGCAAAGGTTGCTAGGTTCATAGCAGGGGCAATCAGAATAAGGGGCACTAACTGATGGCTGATTCAGGACTTTGTGCTCTTATATCAAATTTCCTTTTCTGTGTATAGTGTAATGTTTTACTGTTGCTATAGCCATTGGCTAATGCGAATAAAGTTTTATCTATCTTAGCTTCCCCCAGCCTCATGATTTGTTGGTTGTCATTCCTGGGAGCCAATGAGGTTATACTGGCATGTCCGAATATTCTGCTTTCCTCCCAAGAGTTTTAATACCCCTGGTTGTGTATCCACAGGGCAGGAGGCAGTTCCCCCTCCCAATGAACCATAATCTCCAGATTCCCAGCTTTCCTGTTTTTAGAAAAGTCCCCAGCATTTGCAGAACCTGAGAAATGAGGCTAAATATACAGTCAGGCATTATTCTCATTTCGGGTTGAGAGAGAAATTAGCCAACTCCCCCGTTCAGTGTTTCATTCCCATCCCAAATACTGTGGACACCCATGCTTATCTTATTTATTTCATAAAAATTATACATTGCTTGATTGTAACCGGGGGGGGGGGAGCCAACTTCAAAGCACTGTACGAAAAAGATATAACAATAACATTTTCAATAGGAAGAAATAACAATAATTTTTAAGTCTTTCAAAAAGTTTGTAAAGAATGAACTGAAGACAGGTTAAAACTTGCATCAGCTTTCCAAACATCTGCCTTCACTTGCCTAAACAAAAATGTATTTAGCAGGCGTCAAAGAACAGTCATCTCGCTTTATTGGCCGAGGGAGCCAGTGTACAGCTTCCGGGTCATGTGGCCAGCATGACTAAGTCACTTTTGGCGAACCAGAGCAGTGCACGGAAATGCCGTTTACCTTCCCGCCGGAGTGGTACCTATTTATCTACTTGCACTTTGATGTGCTTTCGAACTGCTAGGTTGGCAGGAGCAGGAACCGAGCAACGGGAGCTCATCTCATGGTGGGGTTTCAAAAAGCTGACCTTCTCATTGGCAAGTCCTAGGCTCTGGGGTTTACCCACAGCGCCACCCGCGTCCCGTGGCAGAATATTACTGTCACATTATTCCAGTGCTGAAGGTAAAGTTATTCCAGTGCTGAAGCGAAGTTACAGGGAACCAGGCAGAGGGCCTTCTCGGTAGTGGCACCTGCCCTGGGGAACGCCCACCCACCAGATGTCAAAGAAATAAACAACTATCTGACATTTAGAAGACATCTGAAGGCAGCCCTGTTTGGGAAAGTTTTTAATGACAGATGTTTTAATGTATTTTTAATCTTTTATCGGAAGCTGCCCAGAGTGGCTGTGGAAACCATTTACTTGGTTTCTCTTACTGGGCTAAGGTGCTAGTATTGGTGAACAAAGTGCTATTATTATTATTATTATTATTATTATTAATTTGTATACCACTCTTCACCCGTAGATCTCATGGTGGTTCATAACATAAAATTACAATATAAAAACCACAGAGTGGTTTGGGGCCAACATACCTAAAAGATTGTCTTGTTCTCTACATACCCAACAGCCCACTGCATTCTTCAGAAGTAGATACAATCCCATCAGGAAATCCATTCCACACAATTTTGAAATCATATTGAAAATCACATTTTTACTGCGGCCGCAGCAAACCCTTTCAAACTCTCTGCAGTTACACATCAGGCAGTCCCCTTCTCTAACTGCTTTTCATCACCTACTTAAACATGTTCTCTTCTTCAAAAATCTTTATCCCGGTTGGAATATGTCCTGGATCTCAGTAGATTTTATGCATGTTTGTTGTTTTACACTGTTTTTATATCTATAGTTCCCCCTCAAAACATATATGCATTTATATGGAATTGTTTTTAATTGTTCTCATAACTTTAACTGTTTTTATATATTATACTGGAGTTTGCATTGAGATGCCTCAATGGAAGTGATTCATAAATGAAATAATAGTAATTATTATACATGTCTTGATTAGTAAATATGTGAACTTTCCTTCCAATGATGAGTGGTAGCTTTTGCTTAATATACTGCCTTGCCCTCGCTTCAATATCTCTAATAGCTGAGGTTTTTATGTCAAGCCTATTCATTTTCATTTGAGTACTTAATCAGTTGGTGACTAATCCTCTAGAATATCCTCACTTGTTTGTTTATTTATTAATCTGATCTCTTTCTTAAAAGTGTTTTCATCCCAGTTTTCTACATAAAAGGTTGAAAGTAGTTCACCCACCCACACTGTAAATCTGAAATAACCCCCACCCTGCAACATAACAGCCGAACGACTTTTTAAATATATCAAAAGCAGCAGTAAAATGAGTACCAACCGCGAAAGTTAGGCAATTAATTACATTTCATAGAATCATAGAGTTGGAAGAGACCACAAGGGCCATCGAGTCCAACCCCCTGCCAAGCATAGTACTAAACGGAGTCTTGCATCACCCGGAGTTTTCTGGCCACATCATCCAACCAGCCAATGCGCTGGCTGGGGAGGCGGGGCCAGGCCCCATTTAAACTGAGGCGTGAGCAGGAGAGCTTCCTCTCACTCGCTCTCTCAATCTCCCGCCCATCCTCCCTAATTCACAGGTTTCGATATTGGCCTTGCTACGGTCCTTGGTCGGTCGCCATTGAGGGGCCTGGTAGGAATTTTTCCACTTGGCAAATTGGCAAGGGCCATCGTAGCAATCGTCACAACTTTTGTAAGGTTTGGTGGTTAGGCATTGATTGATCATGTGATGGGGAGGTGAGGTGTGGCCCTCACCTGTCCCTCCAAGCTTAAGGGTATTCCATTAAAGCAGCGGTTCTCAACCTGTGGGTCCCCAGATGTTGTTGGACTACAACTCCCATCATCCCTGGGCTCTGGCCTTGGTAGCTAGGGGTGATGGGAATTGTAGTCCAACAACATCTGGGGACCCACAGGTTGAGAAAGGCTGTGTTAAAGGAATCCGGGGGTGTGGCTCTTGTCCGAAGCCCGGGGCGGGGCTAGGGCCATGCCACAACCATGTCGGTAACCCTGGGGGAGCTTGAGTTGGTTTGCATCGACGGGGCTCCCCCTACCAGTGGTTGACCCTTACTGGACTTCCTGTGTGATGG